AAGTTTCACCAAAATTTGATTAGTGGTTTTTGAGATAACGGTGGAACAAAAAAAGTGACATACATACTAAATAAATAAATAAATAAATAAATAAATAAATAAATAAATAAATAAATAAATAAATAAATAAATAAATAAATAAATAAATAAATAAATAAATAAATACAGACATACAGACAGGGTAACTGCAAAGACTCCCTTTTGTGCTTCGCACACGGGAGTCAAAAGACTCTTAAAAATAAGTGAAATGTTGGCATTTAAAAGTAAATTACAACATAAGTTTGTAAAAGAAATATCACTAATCACCTGCAATATCTAGTAACATAGGGTGACTTAATTGAAAACAAAGAAAAGCAACAGTTCCTGACATCAAATGTCACTGTTGTCTCTGCTAACTTTTTTTATGAGCAGATTTGTTGCTGATACCAATATTCAAAGATTACTATAAGTTACAGAGCTATGCGACAGTCATCTTCTCATCATTTTGACAATATGCTATCCTTGTCAAAAACACCAGCAGATATTAACAAAGATTCCCTAAAGTCATTCAGCTAATGAATCTCAGTCAGTGTTGTTAGCCTTCGCATTGAGTCTATGGTACACTCACCCAGGGTAAGGGGTTGACATTTCATGTGACGCATCTCATGAACAACTACCAGCAATGTAAAATGACATTTTTAAAACTCCAAATCTGCAAAATTGCAAACCCAATATAAGATTATCTTGACAAAACTTACCGAGTGGGGTCCACTTCATAGCTGATATTTTGTCGTTCAGGAGTCAGCATTTCTTTAACCAAAGGTTCCAACAGTGTGTGTAAATAACTGGAACCATAAACTTTAAAACAGAATGCCATGATTTTACTGGCTAAACTGTTACCCCGAAACAACGTCTGCATGCAGTCTGCAACTTCCACCTTTAACAAACATACATTGTATATTGTAAGACGATGAGAATAACAAGTACAAAAGAAAACTGTTGTACACAGATTCTACAAAACAGATAAATAAATAAATAAATAAATAAATAAATAAATAAATAAATAAATAAATAAATAAATAAATAAATAAATAAATAAATAAATAAATAAATAAATAAATAAATAAATAAATAAATAAATAAATAAATAAATAAATAAATAAATAAATAAATAAATAAATAAATAAATAAATAAATAAATAAATAAATAAATAAATAAACAAACAAGAAATAGAATGCATAATGTATAGCCAAACTTTAATGATCAGGACAGCTGATAATTTCATATCATATATTAAAGAGCACTTTTAAACATAGATTCTACATCTTTGTATTTAAATATATGACCAGTGCCCTCAATAGGCACATGTATTTATAATTTTGTTTTTATGAAAAATCTTCAGATAACAATAGCATTTCACAAATATATCAATGCCTTGAAATCTCTTCATCATTTATTTCACAACACACTAAAGATAGATGCATTAATACATGAGTTTTATATAACCTATGTGACAACATCAAACAACCAGTCTAAATATGGTAATGTTAAAGCTGATCACATGCTAGTTTTTCTGATCACATGCTAGTTTTTCTGATCACATGCTAGTTTTTCTGATCACATGCTAGTTTTTCCAGCCAACTGACTATGTGTGACATCCAACAATCAGTCTAATTATGGTACATGTTCAAGCTGATCACATGCTAATTTTTCTGTACACATGCTAATTATTCTGATCACATGCTATTTTTTCTGATCACATGCTAGTTTTTCTGATCACATGCTAATTTTTCTGATCACATGCTATTTTTTCTGATCACATGCTATTTTTCTGATCACATGCTAGTTTTTCCAGTCACCTGACTATGTGACGACATCCAACAATCAGTCTAAATATGGTTCATGCTCAAGCTGACTACCGTAAAAACCCGCAAATAAGCGCCACTCTCAATTAAGAGCCACTCAGTGAAAATTTGTTACATTTGACCCTCCATTAAGAGCCACCAAGAGTTGAGTGGTTTTGTCAATAAGAACCCTGAAATAAGCGCCAGTCGCCCGGTTGTTTACAATCAGGCGGACACCGAGCTTGTCGTGCCTCACTTCCACCCTGCATTGTTTATTGCCCCAGAACAGAAGGTGTGAGACAAATAAAGATTATCCCCAAAACTTGCCTGATGTCCTGTGTAATCATAGACCTGTTTTCTAAGGTCTATGGTGTAATTGAGAACGGAAGAATGATAGACGAAAGAAATGCACTGAGAGCGTGAATGTGACTGTCAACTTGTCCATTTTATATTTCTGACACACAATCAACCAATTCACAAACTATTCAGTAGTAACTACTAGTATGTTTTTCGCCGAAACACTGAAGGACACGTTGAGATATTCATTGTCAC